AATGAGAAATGGTGCTTTGGCAACTAGTTTGTTATTTCAAGTAACGAAAATTATTTTTATGCTTTTAGTTAACTATAATAACCCTGCACATGAGTCACTAAAGAAGTATACTGTTATAATCATAGTTCCTACACTTAAAATAAATACTGCTGAAATAAGTACATTTTATTTCCAATGATGACCCCTTGACCAAAGGCAATGAGTAGATCATTATTTGTCAGTTTCAAATATTCTATTATGATTTTTTAGAAAGGAGGAGCAGTTACCTCAGAGGAGGCGGGGCTAATGCTGGTGCCATCCGATAGGCCATTTCTACGGTACATGCTGGTGAACCAGCCAATGGGGTGCAGATGCCTGGGCAACAGTGGCCCTCAGCCAGACCCCACATATGACAAATCATCCATACCTGAAGACAGAGAGTGACATCAAAATATTAAGATACATCCTGTATAAAATATCATTAGCTTATAGGGAGACTGAATCAGTGTCAACTGCAGTGCATCATGGGAGTTGGTGTTACAGAAGTGGGTTCAATCCTTTGACAGGTGGTCTACGCATGTGTATGTTCGTAGAAAAAACTGATGCTAAATGTCTAAGGAACTCCACAGGGACTCGGTTTGCTCTTTCCCAGATGGCCAGAGGAAGTCCCAGCATGCCTGACTGACCGATGAAGCGCCGTGCCGGGAAAGAGCGCAACAAATAGGAAAGAATGTGAGTTTTACAATGGAAATCCTCTCAGATCACTCACACAGTGATCAAAACACTTAACGGGTTTTGGGAAAGTTCTCCACGCTCAGCTGGAGACCTGTAACAGCTAATACATTAGCAATATGACCCAGCTTTTGGTCTGAGAATCGGGAAATTGTAAAAGAAAGCTTTTTAATCTCAGCTCCAACTGTGAGAGTTTTATCAAGTCGATCTCATATAACTCTATTTGAACTATAGAGATGTTGCTATGTTCTGACTTTTTGCATATAAACATTTCACAACACGACGTGCATCTACAAACAGCTATGAGTGTGAAGGATCACCAGCAGCGTCAACTGCATCCTTTCTGAAATAAACAAGTTTGATGCTCTGTGTAGACTTACTTAAGCTCTTAAACAGGCCAACCAGAGAATTTATAGCAACTGAACTGAAAAAAACAGCTAATAGAAATCATCATGCTTATGTGCTTATTAACATATGGCCACCCACATTTACATATCAGCATCTTATGAACATGATTCATCACTCAAAGAATTCTACAGAAAATCTAGTTCGCCGTGTTTGTTATGCTATTAAATTGCAAGAATCTTTGACTAATATTATACAAATTAACCCATACAAAAAGTCCAGATTATGGCCTCTTTAATGAACTGCATAAAAGACTAAAGTCTAATTTGACCTGTTACTAAAGTCAAAGAGCTCAGAGGAGCTGTGATGACCTCTAGTGGCCATATGAGTTTCTTATAAGCTTATGAAAGTTTCTCAATGTGAAATCCAAACTGTTTTTTGGCTTATTATCAAAATACTGATCTGACTGCACAACATAACTTATAAAATCCTTTATGGAGAGCCCAAAAACCACTGAACAAATTGGGGATGGTAAGATTATTAAAGTCTCACCAAGGCTGCACTTATTTGATTAAAAATACTATAAAAACAGCAAAAATGTGAAATATTACTTGGATTTAAAATAACCGTTTTCTATTAGAATACATTTTAATATGTAATTTATTTCTGTGATCAAAGCTGTATTTTCAGCATCATTACGCCAGTCTTCAGTGTCACATGATCTTCAGAAATCATTCTAATATGCTGATTTGCTGCTCAAGATTCAAGAAACAGTTCTGATTATTATTATCAATGTTGAAAACAGTTGTGCTGTATCATATTTTTGTGGAAACCGTGATGCATTTTCTTCTCAGGATTCTTCTCTGTCTTTACTTTTGACAAATTGAATGTGTCCTTGATGAATAAAAGTATTTATTTTTCAAAAAGCAAACAAATAAAAACAAACAAACACTTATTAACCCCATATTTTTGAATGGGAGTGTATTAATGCATGATCAAATCTGTTCACTGAACAGAATTATAAAACAAAATAAACATTATCTTAATTACCTTAATTTCACCAACAAAAACATAATTTGTCTTGATAGTGATTGCTGGGATGTGCCGTTCATGTCGCATATAATTAATATACTAAACAAACTACTAACAAAACAATATGCTTGAACCGTTATAACTATTAAGAATGGTAATATTTTCATCAGTCACTTTTGAAAACAAAATTGTTGTAACACTCATCCATACCACAAGATGGCAGCTCACAACTACAAATGACTCTGTACTAGTTAGGCTACTTCATCAGAAGAGCTTTGTTTCAAACATCCATTTAATGTTTACATCACTTACATCACATCAATATTCAACTCATTTCCATATGAATTGAAAAAAGTTATTTATCTACTGTATATTTAAATAATACATACATGAATTTGAGAGGTCATTTTGCATTCTTTTCTCATTTAAAATAAATATATTCATTACAAATCATAGGATCAGCAGCATAATTTGAGTGACAACTAATTTTTCAGCACATTTGCAGGTTTACATAATCTCAGTTTTTCAATGTGTGACCCAGGACAGCACACAATCAGGGTGAATCATAAAGTCTTCTCCATTCTCCATGTGAGCCAATTTGAGATGGCTGACATTTCTCTCTTCTCCTATTTGTAACCCGTTCAGCACCACAACCCAAATCTCTCCATCTCTATCACACCAGATCTATCTGATTATACTCTGAAAGTGTTTCCTATAATATCAGCCACTGTAATCCCCCATGAGTCAGTGATAATACTATCTCACACATCAGTATTACAGAGGATCACCAGCGCAGCAGACGAGCTGTCTTTCACAGTCGGACTGACATCACCCATTTGAGACGCCATCTGGACTGAGAGTGGGTGTGAAAGCTATTAAGTGTTTCCAAGGAGACGCACATTAGTTGATCTCCCGCTTTCACATAGTCCACTCCAATAAAGTGGGAGCCTCGATTTTTTTGTTTTGAACAATACAGGCTTGAAGAACGAACTTCACTTGTGGGGTTTATATTGAGCATGAACACCTGCCTGATCCTTAAGCCAACATGTTCAGAAATACACCTAGTGCACTGTAGTATAGTATAATAGTGAATCAGGGATAGTAGTAGGACTAGGACTAAGAGTAAGAGTAAGAGTAGGAGCAGTATAGTATATTGTAGTATAGTATGGCATGGTGTAGTATAGTATATTATAGTATAGTATAATGTGGTGTATAGTATAGTATAGTACAGTATAATGGGGTGTATTGTAGGGCTGTACAATATATCGAAATTATTGAAATATCGCATATGTACATATCCCAATATGCATATCGCGACGACTTGCAATATTTGGGGCCATGAACAAAAGACAAAGAGAAAATCACTCACTGCTCTTACCTAAATAACTTTTGTAGCTTAAGTAAGAATCAGTGCAAATTGAATTCATAGAGTAAATGTTAAAATGACATTTTTATGTAATGCTAGAGTAAAACACTACCGTTCACTTTCAGAAGTTGTTGTAGGGGTGCTTTCTTCTCACAAAAAGTGAAACATGTATGCTAGTTATATTAGAATCAGAATCAGAATGAGCTTTATTCACCACTTAAGTGTGCGCAAACACAAGGAATTTGTTGTGGGTTTACAGGAGCTCTTGATACATACATACATACAAATAACCATATATATATGACACAAGATAGTTATAGAAGTTCACAGAACTGACTCAGCAACAGCTGAGTAAAACTGTTTCATTTGAGCATGTGGCACATTATCGTATCACATAATTTAATGAGTTATTGCATATTGCAATTTTCTTCAATATCGCACAGCCCTAGTGTATAGTATAGTATAGTATAGAATAATGGGGTGTATAGTATAGTATAGTATAGTATAGTA